TATATATATATATATATATATATATATATATATATATATTAATTATATATAATGACTGCTAAACATATTAGGTTAGTGGCAGATAACGCACTCGCTAATGTGATGGAAGAATCAGGTGCCTACAGCCCCAGCACTCAAGAGGCTGAGGCAGAAGGATAGCCATGAGTCAGAGGCCAGGCTAGAGGTCTACTGAGTGAGACCCTGTCTCAAACAACAAACAAAACATTTAGGTACATAGAGCTCACTAATTCATTTTAATGTCATAAAGAGAGAAAGAAAGCTTAAACAGACCTATGATGAAATAATCTTGTTTAAAAAAAAAAAACAACAGAGACAAAACCTTGAATTTAAACCAGTTCTAAGACCAACTGCTAATATGGGATACACGGAAGAACCATCAGAACACATTTCATGACAAATTGGAGACACAGTGCCCAGGGTGTGGGAGAAACCACTGCACCAAGGAGCTAGTTTCTTAAGCATATGGTAATGGGGGACATGCATAAGTTAAGAATGGCCTGAGAGACACACCAGAGGACAGAATCTATTTATATAGCTTAGTGGTAAGTGCTGATTGTCAATTTGACAAGACATAAAAATACCTAAAAGACCAGCCTCCAGGCATATCTGTGAGGAATTATTAGACTAGGCTAGCCCCTTGGTGTGCCCTATGAGACTATCCTGATGAGGTAAACCAAAGTGGGAAGACCCATTCTAATAGCGAGTACCAGCGTTGTTCCCTCTGCCTCAGACTGGACCAAACGAAAAGGAGAACTTAAGCTGAGCAGTCACAGCTCTCTCTCTGCTCCCTGGTCCCAGTCAGTCAGTCACAGCTCTCTGGCCACTTCCTGGTCCTCAAGCTCCCACCATTGCTGCTTCCTCACTATAACGGACTGCACAGCTGGAACACTGAGCCGAAATAAACTCTTTCTCCCTTAAGTTGCTTTTGTGGGGGAATTTTAACACAGCACTAGGAAAAGTAACTGAGAAAGAGGCTAAGTCAGAGAAACCAGCTATTAAACCAAGCTTTTATTATATAGTTGGAAAAAAAACTATATTAGTGGATAATAAATAGAGCTGGATACAGAGACTCATCATTAAGTTGTTTTTTGTTTGTTTGTTTGTTTGTTGAGACACAGTTTCTCTGTGTAACATGCCATGGCTGTCATGGAACTCGCTCTGGAGACCAGGCTGGCT